AGTTGATTCCGCGGTCCTGGGGTGGCACTTGGCTGGGGAACACACTGGCAAAATTTCAGCTTCAAATTTTGCGTGGTTAGCGAGTTGAAATAGACGAACACACACACAAACATACACTCACACACTGACAGAGTCGTGCAATATGCGTTTTTGCTGCCTGTTGCAGCGCTCTAGCCCTGCACGGCAAAAACGCATAAAAAGTGCATAAAAATTTCGTTGAAATCTCTTAATATGATTTGATAATGCCCGTCACAGGGTGTACGAGACGTGCCTTCCTTTGCATTCGCGACATTCCCAGTTTACTACACTTGTTTTAGCCAATATTTCAATTTTAGTGCTAGCAGCAACACTATTGTTGTTGTTTCCGTTATTGGGCAAGAACACGGGGGTTCAGTTTCATCCATTTTGGTAAGTTTATTTGGTACCATTTGATTTTTGTGTCATCACATTCCAGGATTCCCCCACCACACACGTGCTTCTCCGGCTCAATGGCATGGACGTGGATAAATAAGCAACTGAGCTACTACACTATTATCACCTCACGAATGAAGAAAGGAAGAATTTTACTCGGACATTTCATTGCGATAATCGTCTGGCACCATAGAACATGGAAGTAACCTAAAAACAGATCACCATACTTGTTGCTGCTGTCTGGATAGTCGTGGTAATTAAGGTTAACGAGAGCCGAATTGCTGCTAACTAGCATCTGGCCGAACTGTTACCGTTATCTGGATGATCGAATTGTATTAGTTTTCTCCATTCAAAGCAGTTTCGGACCTGTTTTGAAAATTCTTCGATTCTCACTTGGTCCTTTTACTTGCGCAGGGAAGGAAGCGATACTAGCTGGATCAGAATGGAGCCATCAACTTTTGAAACGCCCCAGCAATCAAAAAAATCCCTGCCAAAGGTCTTCCGTGATGAGCTAGATAAAAGATGACTTGGGAGAACTAGTGGTAGATACTAATCGCTTTCAGCTGTACGAGAGTAATGATCTTTCGGGAAGGCTGTGGGAAAACTATATCAATTCTGAGACAGAGCAGACAAAGTGAATAAGGAAAATTCGATAAACCGGATACAACGGAGTTTGGGAGATGCGGATTATCAGCTCTGCGGTTCTTCGACTCGTCTCGAGATCATCGGTGTTTGTCTTAATAAAGAAACCCGGACTGGAACGCACCAGGCTTGTCAGTGCGATCTTGCGTTTTTGCACCAAATTTGAAGTAATCATGAGTTGTTGCTGCTTTATAGCTACCTTGTGCGCTCACTACCGTAAATCATCGTCAATTTTGCATAAATAAAAATAAACACTTTCCATCTAGCGGTCGTTCGTCAAAAAATCCAAAAATGCAGACTATATAAATACTGACGTTGTCATACACCCGCACAGCTGAATTTGAAATATTTAGCTCGTAAATGTACAAAGAATATCTCTGCAAATTTTCAGCTTTGTACCTTACTTTGTTCTTGAAATCGTTTTCCACCGAGGAAATTTGTATATTTTTTCGGGGAGCCGTACGAGAGATCTAAGCGCGTATGAGCAAAAATTTTAAAACGGGAAGATGACATACGGGGTAGGAATATACCCAAATTTCAGCCTCCCAACTTTCCTGGTTGCTGAGACGAAAATGGGTGACAAAGTTCACTCGCTTCTGAACACACATACACACACACACACACACACACTGATAACCTCTCGATAATATGCGTTCAAATAAAAAAAAAGCAAAATGTTGTTTTCAGTGTCATTTATGATGGATGGTACCGAAGGAGAGGGCGTCGAGCAAGGCTTGAGAGGCAAGGATCATGGGGATGAGAATGTTCCGCCAGCCAAGAAATCGACGCATGGCCAAACAAAGATTTGCGACTACGGGGTGCGCAAAGGTCTAAGCTACCGAAGTGCGGGCGCCAGCGCATCAAGGAGTGAAAGACGTGAATTGCGTGAAACGGAGGCGAATACAAGGACGTTCGCGTCCCAAGCCGGAGTGATAC